ATTCTTTAAATATGATGTAATCAGATTGTATTGACTCCATTTAATCGCATAAATAATCAAGGTAGGATGAATTAAATTAATCTCATGATGATAATACAAAAAAAAAACACTTTTAAATGTATAAAATTAATAGATGTGATTAGTCTTTTTTTATTTAAATAGATAAACCAATATGGAAATAGATCTGTTTATTGAATATATATATAATGAAATAAAGTTAAGGCTGTTAATTGGGTCAAGTCATTAGAAGTGTAGAACATCGTTTAATCGCATACAGTAATCAAGGTCACGCAAATCAAAACAAAAGTAACACCGTTTAATCGCATAGAATAAACAAGATCCTGATAAATCCCTTTTTCCTGTTGTAATTTTCTCAACATCTTGGTTATCATCTCTCTCCTCCCGAGTCAAGTAAATCGCCGAGTGCCGTGAGCTATGTAATCCCACCCAGTAATCCCGGTGTTGTTATTGGATTCTGGATTTAAGTCGTCGAACAAGTTGTGGGGTCGTTGGGGGTCGTTGGGGATTGGGGGTCGTTAAGGGCGGGGGGGCTGTAGGGTGGGGGTCGTTAAGGGTTGGGGTCGTTAAGGGGCGAGGGGCTGTTAGGGTGTGGGTCGTTAAGGGTTTGGGGGGCCACTGGAGCTTTGGGGGTCGTTAAGGGGTGCTAGGGTCGTTAGGTGGGGTTGTTAGCGGGTCCTGAGGGGGGGGGGAGCATTATACGTATCAAACACACTATAACTATATCTTATAAAAATCTATAATGTTTGTCCCAATAAACGCCAAAATATTTCCCGTTAAATCATAGTTCTTGCCTGAGAGTGATACTTTATTGTGTGAGTATAATTTTTTTATTTTGTAGTGAGTATAATTCACCAGGATGACGTAGAGTTATCAGGAGAGTTATAAGACTTCTCATACACTTATGACGCCATAATGCTGGGTTGAGAGTGATAAAGTTTGTCAGTGAACTGCTCTGGAGAGTTAGAATGCTTCCTGGAGAGTTATGAAAGGTCCTTGGAGAGTTCATAAGTCTTTTGAAATGTAAATTATACTCTCAGTCTCTCAGTCTTTTAATATGGAAGTGTTATAAAGTTGTTAAGATAGCTATAATACATTCATAATATATCAATTTGTCTTTGGAGTTTCTAAAGTTATAGTGCTCAGAGGTGTGTTCACGGTGCCAAGAATAATAATGAGGCTCTGGAAGTTTATATCACATTGTCTCAGTTAAGTTATAATGTTCCAAGGAGACTAAGAGAGGCCATTATTGTCAAAGAAAGTATAATAACTTACAAAATGTATCACACTGTCTTAGTTATAATGCTCCAGTGAGAAGTCTTATTGTATGGTGTGTGTGTGTGTGTGTGTTTATGATGTCTATTGTTCAGTGGATATAATGCCTTAATATCATTATTTCATCATCATCATCATCATCATCATCATCATCATCATTCTGCTGGATAAAGCCCTTCCACCCTTGTATCCACCTTTATCCCTAACCTACCCATCAAATACATCCACACATCCACAATTTATCCATCCATCTATCATCCAATCTCTCTTGGAGGTGGGAAGGAAGGAAGGAGGGAGGGCTGTATCTCCCGTTTAGCATCTCTCCTAGGGCCACTGTCTCTCTCAATATCTCCTCTTATGGTCTCTCATCGTGTTCATTATGCAGTGTTATCTCCTCATAAGGCTTCAGCCCGAGTCTCGAGGGATTGCTGGAGAGGTATAAGGCTCCGTTGGTATATTATGATGCTGTGTAATTACCGTGGTGTTTGGAGGGTGACTTGGAGTGTTTATTCAGTGTAGTCTCGAGTGTTACTTGAGATCGTGTAGAAGCTGTCTAGCCTCCTGGAAACAGTCCGTCGTACTTTAAAGCTTTGTTCGTGGTATTTTAAGTTTGTTTGGGGTATTTTAAGCTTGTTTGGGGGTATTTTAAGCTAGTTTGGGGGATTTTAAGCTTGTTCGTGGTATTTTAAGCTTATTCGGGGTATTGTAAGCTTGTTTGGGGTATTTTTAGTTTATTTGTGGTACTTTAAGCTTGTTCGTGGTACAGTAAACTTGTTTGTTGTATTTTAAGCTTGTTCGTGGTACTTTAAGCTCTGTCCTTGGCACTTCTTTAAGCTTTGTCCTTGGTACTGTCCTTGGCACTTTAAGCTCTGTCCGTGGCACTTGACAGTACCCTGACACCATCTTTGCCATTTAAACTCATTTCCCGCACTTTAAACCTCCCTGCGGCAATTTAAAATCCCTCTTCAACACTTTTAAGTCCCATTTGCCGCACTTTGAAACCGCCTGCGGCACGGTAATCCTCCACTGTCAACAACACGCGCCAGCCAACACCAAAATCACGAGCTCGGAACAAGACAGTGACGAACTTGAGCCATTTACAAAGTCGAGATTGCCACAGTGAGCCAATGGGAGTCTAGCCCATGACGGCAAGGTGGAGATTGTTCTCTTCTTCCTCTCTTTACTCTCTCTTTACTCTTTCTCTCTATCTATCTATCTATCTATCTATCTATCTATCTATCTCCAATTAAAAAAAATCAAATCAAAATCAATTAAAATTTACGTCTAAAACGGAATCCAATCACAAAAACTAAACCCACGAAGATTTTACTAAACATAAACCAACAATAATTGAGGACAGAAGTGATTAAGGAGTGATTAAGGTTGAGGTAAGTATGCAATATCAACTGTTGCAGGAAGAATACATCTGCAACACCCCCAGAGACACGGCACTTTAATTGGCTGAAGGAGTCGTTGGTGTACTGAGAGTGTCTAGTAACCCGAGGAAGGCGGTGAAGGAGTCCTGAAGTGAAGATTGGAAGATGTGTTCGGATGATTTGTGGTGTTCGGATGATTACAAACCGGTGTTCGGGTGGTTTAGTGTCGGTGTTCGGATAACTATTGGTGTTCGGATGATTACTCTGGTGTTTGGAATGATAAGGGTATGTTGGTAAGGGTATGCTGTTAAGGGTATGTTGGTAAGGATATGCTGTTAAGGGTATGTTGTTAAGGGTATGTTGGTAAGGGTATGCTGTTAAGGGTATGTTGGTAAGGGTATGTTGTTAAGGGTATGTTGGTAAGGGTATGCTGTTAAGGGTATGTTGTTAAGGGCATGTTGGTAAGGGTATGTTGTTAAGGGTATGCTGTTAAGGGTATGCTGTTAAGGGTATCCAGTCGCAAGCCTCCAGTTAAAAGAATCCAGTTAGCCACTTGGAAATTGCTATCTAAAAACTGACAGTCACTAAATATCCAGTTACATACACTCACCCTGTTAATGTACTCTCGATGATGTAGTGTTGTACTAAGTAGATCTTAATGAGTCCGTAATGAGTCCGTAATGTGAGATTGAGTCCTGTGTAAAATCTGTTACCGAGTGACATTGGAACTAATATTTATGTGTGAGAGAGAGTATGAAAGTGAGAGAGTGGTAGAGAGACAGAGAGAGAGAGAGAGAGAGAGAGAGAGAGAGAGAGAGAGACTCCACCCCACTGTGATGACCAACTGGAGATTACCAAGTGCTGGAAGAAACGAGGAACACTGAGAGTCGTGTGTGTGTGTGTGTGTGTGTGTGTGTGTGTGTGTGTGTGTGTGTGTGTGTGTGTTTAGAAGATAAAACACACGTCTTCAACATGGCCCAAATATTAGACTCCTCCTTATCAAGACCAAAGGCTCACGTTAGGCTCATACAAGGCTATTTTATTAACTCACTTGGGGACACTAACCACAAATACCTTATAGTGTGGGAGGGGTGTGGGAGGGGGGGTGTGGGAGGGGGATGTGGGGGAGGGTGTGGTGTGTGTGTGTGTGTGTGTGTGTGTGTGTGTGTGTGTGTGTGTGTGTGTGTGTGTGTGTGTGTGTGAGTGTGTGTGTGTGTGTGTGTGTGTGTGTGTGTGTGTGTGTGTGTCTGTGTTCACTATTTTGTGTTTGTTGGATGAGTTTGAAGATTTTTCCTGCTGGCTCTGAACGATGTTATCACCGTCTCTGGTGGACTGTTATGGTAATACCAACTGTTTCCTGCAGAGTACACACTTGAAGCTATTGTTTATAGATATTATACACCTGAGGTTCTTGGTTGTGTATATTGCACACCTGAAGCTTTTGTTTATGCATATTATACACCTGAAGCTTTTGTTTATGCATATTATACACCTGAAGCTTTTGTTTCTATATATTATACACCTGAAGCTTTTGTTTCTATATATTATACACCTGAAGCTTTTGTTTATGCATATTCTACACCTGAAGCTTTTGTTCAACGTTAATTATCATGATGTTTACTTCCTTAACTCATTTACCTGTGTCCTCCCTATCTACCTTAATTCTTATCCATTAATTCATGTTTACACCTTTACCTTAGTTTTTCCTTTCTCTTCTTAATTTACCTTAATCCAACCATTCTTACCTTAATCCTGCTATTCTTACCTTAATCCTGCCATTCTTACCTTAATCCAACCATTCTTACCTTAATCCTGCCATTCTTACCTTAATCCAACCATTCTTACCTTAATCCTGCTATTCTTACCTTAATCCTGCCATTCTTACCTTAATCCAACCATTCTTACCTTAATCCTGCCATTCTTACCTTAATCCAACCATTCTTACCTTAATCCCACCATTCTTACCTTAATCCTGCCATTCTTATCTTAATCCCACCATTCTTACCTTAATCCTGCCATTCTTATCTTAATCCCACCATTCTTACCTTAATCCTGCCATTCTTATCTTAATCCTGCCATTCTTATCTTAATCCCACCATTCTTACCTATTCTCTTCTCTTTATCTTAAGCTCTCGTGTTATTTCACCTTGCTGGCGTAAATTAGACCCTCGCCAGGTGTGTTATTACAGAGAGATGACTTTTCCCTCGTTTGCCACACCTGTCGTAATTAATTCACCACCTGAGCTCATTAACCATTATTACGTCCGAAAGGTCTTCAACTTGTGCTTATTTTCTCATTGTAACTTTTTTTCTCTTCTCTTTCGCAGACGCTGAAGGTGTAATACTGACGAAGAGGTGGTGTTGGGGGTCAGCAAGAGTAGGAAGAGGAGTGCAAGTTAGCGCCACTGTTCACCTCCCACTGAAACCAATTAGCGGGACTATTTTTAAGACTCGTTGTGACTCGGGAGAGAAGGACAGGGAAAGGACAACGGGATTCTTGTGTTTTCTAAAGTGGTGAGAAGTTACTTAAGTGTTCGTGATTTATTTTTTTGTAAGTGTTAAGAGAAAAGTTTGATAAAGTGCATTATTGAGGTTCCTTTTCTGTGTGTGTGTGAGAGAGAGATTGACGGTGTTCATTGTGTTGTGTAAGGAAGCCTTATCTGCCTCGATATGATGCTGTCTTAGTTGTTATAAAGCTTTTGGAAGCCTTCTGTTGAGTGAAACTTCTTGGAACTTGGTGATCGTCATATAGTGAACTGTCTGGACATAGGAAATAGCGAATGTACCTTTTATAAAGCATCTAAAGCAGCTTAAAAACAACGCGTGAAGCTCATTCTCTCTCTATTAATCTCTTAAATTCAAAAGACAAAAAAGTTACTTGGAATTTCAAAGCCTGTGAATTTTTGCGTAACCTTGAAGAACTGGCCTGATTTGCTTGACCCTTCATGGCTTCTGGTGACCTGCGCTTGTGAGCTTCCCAGCAGTAGAAATTCTATACCCTCTCTTCACTTCAACTTGGTGACCTGATCTGAGAGTCTCTGCCTCCTGGTGACTCAAACTCTGTGAACACCTCTGAGTCACCGGATACTTCCTTCAACTCCTCGTAGGAATGTGTAGATCGTCCTTGATGCTCCGGTTAAGACCTGATAATCTCCCTTGTGAAATCTCTTGAATCTCCTTAGAGACCCTTAATCTCTCCCCTCTCGTGTGTGTCTCTCTCTCTCCTGCCGACGGTCTCATTATGGTGTGTGAGATGATGCTCATGACTGTGTATGATAATATTGTTCTGATGGTGGACTCCGACTGTCAGCTCACGGTACACGATAACTCAAGCTACAAGGGATCTGACCGTGACTCTCCTCCAAGTTCTTGACACGCTCGAGTATCATATCCGCTCACTCCTCCTCGATCATTCAAGTTACTGCTCATGGGGAGTGATTCACAAGCATCTATGTGACAAAGAGTGTAAAGAGAATAATAACCTAAGGCTGATCGTGTAATGAAATGTGGTGAGACAAACCTTGATGACGGTGTTGGTGAATCAGTGAAGCAAATCAAGAAACACAATAATATTAGTTCCTTCAGATACCACGTGATGTTCTTCTCGTTCGTACGATAAGTCTGAGAGCGCCAGTAATGTATTGTACTCAGTAGATCAGTATACACAGTGTTATCTTAGGCCTCGGCAGTGTTTTATATACCCAAGCGATTTTTGCAGTCATGAAGCTAGTCCGTTTTGGGCCTCGTGAACCACAAGAAGCAGAAGTCAACAGCGTTTGATCTGTTGACTCACACCACCCACCACCCATCTCTCATACCTCTTGGAGCTCCCCGCCCACCCGTGACCGGCCATGTGGGCGTCGCGGGCGTTAGTGGGCGTGGGCTGGGCCATAGTCCTAACATGTGTCTTGGCCATCACGGACACCATACCCGACCAGGAAGGTAAGTCCCGGATGTGTTTGTTTATCTTTAACTACTATCGATGTGCATAGTCTTTCTTACAGGTCATTGGCCACTTAGTCTACCAATAATAGTCCTTCTTGTTCATGAATGGCCGTTACATTCACCTACCAATACGATATTTTTGTTCCATTTTATCCGTTTTTTTCCGTTACGCATAACACATTTTTTGCAGCCCCTTTTTTTCAAACAAATACAACTAATTTCGTTTCAATTTATCGTTTCCTCCTACACAACACACTTTTTTTTCTTAAATTTCAACCAAGTTTTTTTCCAATTGTATCCATTTTTTCCCTCATACTGTACACATATTTTTTTCCTTCTTCAATTTACTAAGTTTTCTCATGCCAGTAGACTGTACCTGAGCGTGTTGGAGTAAGAGTGCAGCCGTGTCGAGCACTCTAGTCGACACGGGGGGATTAACCCTTCCCTGGACGCTGGGATTTAAAGGGAACGACTCGAGTAAGGGATTGACGGATTATCTGATTGGGAATGGAGTTTATAGATTGGGGGATTGGAAGGAGGAAGAGGGGGAGGATTAGCGAAGTGGGGGTGGAGAAGTATGTGAGGAGGGGGAAGTTGAGGACGAGGTTGAAGGGCAGTGAAGGGCAATGAAGGGTAGTTGAAGGGCAATGAAGGACAGTGAAGGTTTGTTGAAGGGGAATTAAGGGTAGTTGAAGGGCAATGAAGGGTAGTTGAAGGGCAATGAAGGGTAGTTGAAGGGCGATGAAGGACACTGAAGGTTAGTTGAAGGGGAATTAAGGGTAGTTGAAGGGCAATGAAGGGTAGTTGAAGGGCAATGAAGGATAGTTGAAGGCAATGAAGGGTAGTTGAAGGGCGATGAAGGACACTGAAGGTTAATTGAAGGGCAATGAAGGGTAGTTGAAGGGCAATGAAGGGTAGTTGAAGGGCAATGAAGGGTAGTTGAAGGTAATGAAGGGTAGTTGAAGGGCAATTGAAGGGGAATACAGTACTGTGTGATATAAATTTTGGTAGACAGACTATTCCGATGATGGATTAGCTGACAGGAAGGGGAAATTCATAGATTGGGGATTAGACGGGGGTTATGGAAGGGGAGGTAGGGAGGGTTCTTTTCCTTTACTCTGATGGAAGAGGTGAGTGAGGGAGGTTAGGTGACTAGCTTGATGGAAGTTGAACAATAATATTTAATGTTACTTTTGATGGTCAGGTTCTTCAGCTGATTAGAAAGGTTATTGATTTGGTGACTGGAAGGGGAATAAGAGAGAAGAAATAACGAAGAAAAGTATAAACAAAAGAAAGATTGGAGTAAAATGGATGGATGATTCAGCTGGAAAGACGAATTGACAGAGAAGATTTAAACTAGAAATTAATGAACTGGGTGTATGCAATTTTTGGGGGAGAGACCACCCTGTATAAAACAATTCTCCTATAATATTATGACATAGAGACTTAATTCATGAGGTTGTTAGTCAGCCATCTTCGAACGGCGTTGAGTAGCACTTGAGGGAACTTATAGAATTTAGGAGTCACTTAGGTTCTTGATGGGAGAGTTAGGATGTGGAAGTCTGTGTGTGTGTGTGTGTGTGTGTGTGTGTGTGTGTGTGTGTGTGTGTGTGTGTGTGTGTGTGTATCCTAACCTAAGTGTCATTTAAGTTAACTCAAATTATATCCCATCGTTCAGAAACTAATTACAGTTATTTGTGTTAAGGGATTAAGTAATGACAGTGAGTTAAGTGCGTTATTAACTTATACTAATTAGCAAACTGGTGGAGTGTATTAGTTGTGTAGTAATGATTTAAGCTAATTCTTATGGGCTTCTGGGCTGTAAGGATATTTTAATTATATATACAGTGGGGGGAAAGTTGATTGACAGGTAAATTGATGATTAGTTAATTAGTATATATGTTTAATTATATACAGGTAGACAGGTGTGTTGATTAAGGTATAATAGGTAAAATAGATAAATAAAGATATGTACACAAGGATATATACAAACATACATCCGTCACACACACACACACACACACACACACACACACACACACACACACACACACACACACACACACACAGATATACATTCAAATAGACACATAGTGAGATGAATACATAAACAGGTAGGCAATTAAAGTGAGTTATATTAGACAGTCAGACAGTCGAACACATTCAGCCAAATGGACGAAAAACGAGAGAGAATAGACAGATAGATGGACAGATAAGACAGACAGACAGCAATCAGTCAGATGGTCACTGAAGCCATGGTGTATGCAGTACATATTTAACTGTGTGTGTGTGTGTGTGTGTGTGTGTGTGTGTGCGCGCTTCAATAACTTCATGTCAAGGTAAAACACAGCAACACTATTATTGTTTTACGAGTGTTGAGTAGTTTATTAGGATCGCGTCACCCTCAAGTAACACACAGCAAAACTTCTCGTAACAGCTGTGCAGTGACCTTCAGGAGATGGTTGAGGTATTAGGTCAGAGGTCAAGGTCAAATGAGCGAGGATGTTTAGTGTGTTGTCTCGTAGAGGTTTAATTGACCTTACGTGGTCCTATTGGTTAGGTTAGGTTAGGTTAGGTTTGATTAAGATATGTCAATTAGGGGCCTATTAGGACTAGGGGCCCATATGACCCCAACCATCCATTACACTCATATTCAACTACAATTAACCGAACTACCTTATGTGTAGTTACTATTTACACTGTGATTGTTATTCTATTTTCAATCACTTGACGAAATAGATTGACATTGCCATCGAAATGAACCAAGATCCGCCTATCATGATAACGAGTGGCACTGAGGTCCGCCTATCATGATAACGAGTGGCACTGAGGTCCGCCTATCATGATAACGAGTGGCACTAAGGTCCGCCTATCATGATAACGAGTGGCACTAAGGTCCGCCTATCATGATAACGAGTGGCACTAAGGTCATTTTGGCACTAGATGACCAGAGATTGTGGCACCAATTATTTCACATGACCGCTAATGGTTATACCAGTCACTGTGAGGACAAGATTTGGTATTCGTAGGTGACACTTGATGATCGGAGAGGATCCATAGGTGTGATACTAATGTTAGTATAAACGCGGCCGTGGATTTGTAGGTGATATGAAGGTCTAGCTCTAATCACCATCATAATACGACTTTGGATTGGTACACGACTCGGAACGACCACACACACACACACACACACACACACACACACACTCTTGGTCGCTTGTTCCTCGTTCACTATTCATTTAGTCCAGGCAGGTAAGGCGATGTTACCTGTACGATGACAAGAGACTCCCAGCTAGCGGGGACCGTCTACCAACACGACGCGACGCAAAATGAAAAGAAAAAAGTGAAACAAAACAGGACACGACGCGGTGTGATGCAGGAGGGAAGGAAGGTAGAAGGTGCAAGGAGGAAGGAAGGAAGATGAAGGGAAAGAAGGAAGAGGGAAAGAAGTTAGAAGAGGGAAAGAAGGAGGGAGGAAAGAAGGCAAAAGGGCAAGGAGAAGGGAAGAAAGGAGGGAAAGAAGGAAGAGGGAAAGAAGTTAGAAGAGGGAAAGAAGGAGGGAGGAAAGAAGGCAAAAGGGCAAGGAGAAGGGAAGGAAGGAGGGAAAGAAGGTTGAAGGACAAGGAGAAGGGAAAGAAACAAGAAGAGGGAAATAAGGAAAAGAGAAGAAAGTTGAAGGGGAGGAAGATAATTAATAAGAAAACAAAGGGAAGAAATATGAAGGAAGATAAGGAGATAGAAGGGTAAGAGAAAGGGGGAAAGTCTTAGGTCAACTTTCACTTCCTTACTCGAACTTGGGCTATTTTCTCCCTTCTATTTTACCCTTTTTAGTCCTTAAGCCTCTTACAAGTCATTTGGGGGTGCTTACTTATACCTACTTTCACCAGCCTATATGTACTTTCTCCAGTCTATATAGCTGTAGTACTTTCTTCAGAGTGTATGCACCTTTGGGACAGCATATGCTTTCTTTAAGACATGTGCTTCTAACTTTCCTCCCCTTCCTTGTTTGTGTGTACTTTCCCTTAGTCTCAACTTTCTCTCACCAGTATGTCTGTACTTTACGATCTCTACTTTCACTAATATGTTTGTACTTTCTTTTAACTAGTCTGTAATTCACTCGCTGTTATTACTTTCTCCAGCTTGTCTGTGTACATGTCTGTGTTAGTTTCTAGTCACTTTACTTTCTCTACCCTCTGAATAGTTTCTGCTTTCCCTCTCCAGTGCTTTCTTTTCTAAACTTTCCCCTCCCTGATGTAAGTAATTTCTTTCCTATCAAACTTCACCACTTTCCCCTACTTACTCGGTGGGCTTTCTAAACTTTCACAACTTTTTTATACTTTCTTGACCCTTCCAACTTGTCAGAAACTTTCCTCCTACCTGTTGTACTTTCTTTATTTTCTAACTTGTCTAAACTTTCCCCCAGGGTTTTTTTTCTCAACCTATGGGATTTACCTGAATTAATTACCTGCGTTAGTCAGCTCAATGTGTGTTTTTTTCCTGGTTGATTTGCTGGGTAATGCCCTTCTCTCCCTCTTCACAGCGAGTAAATTCCCCTACCTAGAGTAAATTTCCCCTAACTCCAGTAAATCTCCCCCCCCCCTCCAACCTTGAGTAAATTTCCCCATCTCGAGTAAATTTCCCCCACCTCAGACACACATCTCCCCCTGACACTAGCGACTCACAAACTTCTCTTAAAGGGTCAGTTTACTGCCTGCACCGTAATCCTTCTCCTCCTCTTCCTCTTTCTCCTCTCTTCTTCCTCTTTCTCCTCTCTTCTTCATCTTCCTCCTCCTCTTCTTAATTTTCTTCTCTTAATCCTTCTTCTTCTTCTTTATCTCCTCCTCCCCCTCCTCTTTCTCAACATCAATCCTCTTCCTTCCCCTCCTTTCTTCCTCCTCTCTTTTTCCTGTTCCTACTCTCCTCTTCTTCTTCATTGTCTCTCCCTATACATCCTCATTATACCCACTCTCCTTCTATAAGACTTCCTCTACCTCACC